TAGCAATGCACATAAAAAAGTATCAGATTTTTTCATTGTCCAATATCATGTGCCGCTGTCTGCGTAGCTGGTAGATACTACATGAATTACAGCATTTTGATTATCTTGGAAATCACAAGTACACTCACAAGTGGCGGTTTTTTACACATTACATACAATATATGACTTACCTGGGGCAATTTATACTTCCGTTTATTGTTCCTTAAACTAGTCACGATGTAAACGGCCTAATCTCTGGCTCCATTGACAGACTCCTATATAGTCGAGTGTGGAACCCCGGATTTAGAAAAAAGGGAGTGGGATTACGAAAAGACAACGTTAGAAATTGGACTTGTATTAAGTTTATATGCATTTACCATCAGTGTTCTAGCTACAAAGTTTGAACAGGGCGCAACGCCCACCCTTTTTGGTGACGCCCGTGCCTTTTTTCTGCCGTTTCTCTGGTGCAGTGTCATTTTTATCGCGAAATTTGCTTTTTCTCGGATGAGTTTTGTCGAAATGTTCTTTGCTAATTTTTTTCCTTGTTGACAATGCGTAACGTGCCACCTATAACTAATTATATGTAGCATAAAAATTTGCATAAAAAGTGTTTACCTTGACTATCGATCAATTTCGTGATTAGAACTAAACTGAGAACTTAATTAAGTCCAAATAAATTTTAAATCATTATTTTCCAATACCAACTCGAGATAGACGCCTGAAAGGTGAAACCAAAAAGAATGCTAGCCAAAATAAAACTTTGACATCGTTCTTTACAAGTGGAAATTATTTTTAGAAAAAAAAGTTTATCATTTTGAAATCTTTTACGTCGCTTAACTCCACCAAATTAAAATAAATTGCTTCGCCAAGCACAGCTGGATACAACCGCAGAGGTCCAACCCTGAACAGTTGGGGCAAAAATGGACACAATATTCGTGCTTCATACAGGTCTGAATTTGGATTGAAATTAAATGTTTGACACATAATAGGTTTCTAACACAGAATAACTGTAGTCAAAGAACTTAGAATTGGTTATATGATTTGAATTTATATTTATGTTTGATATTTTTTGCTTTCGTGCAATTCACTATGCTGTTGCGAATCCCCCCCCCCCCCAAAAAAAAAAATTAATTTCAGCCCCTTTTTTTTTTTGGCAAAAATTTTTTTTTTCACCCCACCCCTTTTTTTGGCAAAAATATTTGAAGAAATTTTCTTTTTAATTTCTGAAATCTGTAATGAGAAAAAAAAAATGTTCCCCCGCCCCAATTTTTTTTCACCTCCCCTCCACCTACCCTTTTTCCCCAAAACAATTTTTTCCCTCAAGATATGGTCATTATCTCAATTCAAATTTCCAATGGAGTTTGCAACCATAATTACCCATTTAAATACATCATAAAAGTCTTAAAATAGAAAATGACATACAAAATCTATGTCTAAAAATAATGTATCTTTAATCAACATTTTTATTAGTAACTTCTAAAAATAAATTGACAGCTAATCACCTCAAAACAGTACAAAATTTCGCTATACATAATTTTACAGCAGTGTAAGGGGGGTAATCCAAATTTAACATTGTACTTCAAAGTGATTGTCCATTAACAAGGAAACCCTTGGTTTTTTCCCCTTTTTTGCCCCTAATTCCTAAACAGTTTGAGCCATTACCCCCCAAAGCCAATTCTTAACCATCCTTTTGTGGTATGGAAACTTGTTGTACAATTTCAGAGAGATCCATACACCGTTATTTATTACACAAGTTATTGTCTGAAAACTAGAAAAATGCTTATTTGGGCCCCTTTTTTGGCCCCTAATTCCTAAACTGTTAGGACTATAACCCCTAAAATCAATCCCAACCTTTCCTTTGTGGTTATAAACATTGAGTTTAAATTTCATAGATTTCTATTTACTAATACTAAAGTTATTGTCCGGAAACCAAGTGTCTTCGGACGACGACGACATGATACCAATATATGACCACAAAAATTTTATGCGGTCGTATAAAAATGAAAGATATTTACATTTTTTTGTAGAAGAGAACCACTTCAGGCGAATGTCTCATCAGTTAAAAGAAAATTACCCTAAATTAGCCAAACTAAAACAGAATCTCCGCGTAAAAGGCACAACAGTGGCCATAGTTTAGGCTTTGATAGGAGTTGGCAAATCGGCAGAAACTGGTTACAATGTGTTGATGATACCATGAAATGTTCACAGCAGGTGTTAATTACAATAGGACAACTGTCGGACCAGTCTGACATATTGCCGGATTAAGGCATCCATAGTAATAAGACTCTACCAGCACTGTTTCTGATTTTTTTTTCTAAACATGACAATTAAAGACAAATTTTATTTGGTGAGAACAAAGTTTCACATTTTGACCCAAACTATCGGTTCACATTATGGATCTATCATAAATAGTAGTTTAATTTACATTTTTTTTAACGTAAAACGACTTCCATTCATATAATAAATAATAAGCATTGTGTATAAGTTTCATAACATTTGGTTGAGGCAAACTAAAGTTACAGAATGGAAACTAAAAATTTTGCAATCTTTCGATTTATAAAGGGCATAACTCAATAATGGTTAAAGTGACACTACCCAAATTCAACTTGATCTGTATTTTATCAGTGGAAGGCAAAATTAAACATTGCATTGTATAAAGCATTGATTGTAGTTGATTCAACTATAATTATGGACAAAAGAAGATAACTCAAATTTTAATAAAATGCTCCGCTGGGCGCAGCTTGATACGACCGCAGAGGTCGACCCTGAAAAGTTGGGGCAAGTATGGACACAACATTCAAGCTTGATACAGCACTGAATTTGGAGTGTGATTAAATATTTGACACAGCATAGGTTTCTGACACAGAATGAATGTGGTCTAAGAACTTAAAATTTTTTAATTTACCTATTCAAACCATATCATTATTATTTGCTTTTATATATATATCAGAAATAACCAATTTAAAATGGAAAATTTTAAAGAAAAAAAATCCCTCCCCCAAATTTTTTGAACCCCCTTATGATTCATCACCCCCAAACTCAATCACAGCCTTCCCTTTGTGGTATGGTACCTTGCAGTACAATTTCAGAGAGATCCATACACTTGAACACAAGTTATTGTCTGGAAACTAGAAAAATGCTTGTTTTTAGGCCCCTTTTTGGCCCCAAATTCCTAAACATTTAGGGGAATTACCCCCAAACTCAAACCCAGCTTTCCCTTTGTGATATGGAACCTTGTAGTACAATTTCAGGAAGATCCATACACTGACACAAAAGTTATTGTCTGGAAACTAGAAAAATGCTTATTTTTGGCCCCTTATTCCTAAACGTTTTGGGCAATTGCCCCCAAACTCAATTCCAGCTTTCCCTTTGTGATATGGAACCTTGTAGTACAATTTCAGAAAGATCCATACACTTACACACAAGTTATTGTCATGAAACTAGAAAAATGCTTGTTTTTTGCCCCTTTTTTGGCCCCTAATTCCTAAAAATTTGAGGCAATTACCCCCAAAATCAATCCCAGCATTCCCTTTGTTATATGGAACCTTGTGGTACAATGTCAGAGAGATCCATACACTGACACACAAGTTATTGTCTGGAAGTTACAAACATGCTTATTTTTGGCCCCCTTTTGGCCCCTCATTCCTTAACTGTTGGTACCATAACCCCCAAAATCAATCCCAACCTTCCTTTTGTGGTATTGAACCTTATGGTAAAATTTCATAGAGATCCATTCACTTAAACTTAAGTTATTGTGTGAAAACCAATGTGTCTTCGGACGACGACGATGACGCTAACGTCATACCAATATAAAAATGACTTGATATTTAGAAAAAGTATATTGTGGTTATAAGCATTGTGTATAAGTTTCATAACATTTAGTTGAGGCAAACTTAAGTTAGAGAACGGAAACGAAAAATTCAGCAATTTTTCCAAATGTAAAGGGGGATAACTCTAGAACTATTATAGTGACGCCACCAAAATTCAAACTTGATCTGTGTTTTGTGGTAATAAGTATTGTGTATAAGTTTCATAACATTTGGTTGAGGCAAACTAAAGTTAGAGAACGGAAACCAACTTTGAGAAGTACGGACGAACGTAGACAGACAGACAAGGGTAAAACTTAATGCCCCCTCCGCTATGGCGGGGGCATAAAAATTATATATTTGTAGTTGAGTATTGCAAAGTTACCACGTGTATTCATCCTGTCCATTGGTCGTATTAAAATAGATTTTTTTTATTGACCAATGACAAAATTCGATAATTTAATTTGGCAATTAATCAGGAAAGCCATGCTTAAAAACGTTTTGTATTTCTATTTCGATGTTTCCCCTTAATTTGAAACTTGAAACACTGAAAAAAGAATCTAAGAAAAATATTTAATCATCTAAACCACACATATAAATAATCTGTTTCTGTCTTAATTTACAAGTAACTATATTATCAAAAACACCGTTTATCTCTACAGAAAAGGAAATAAGACAGTTATTTTCATCCGACTGTAAACATTGTATATATCTGTACCCATTACAACGATCTATTAATAACCGTCGCTCACGCATCACTAGTTCTATTGATGACTCAATACACACCAGTTTTATAGGACAAACAGCTAATTCCCCTCAAAAATAGCGCACATTTGCCAAATAGGTCTACCAGTGTATGTATTGTTAATTTGTCCTCATCCTGAACATGAATGAAATATTTGCCACTGGACTTTAAACAAACCCTCATAAAACTTGCAAGCTAAAATACATTTAAAGACATTCTTTCAATGCATATGCATGTAACGTTAATCAATATTTTCCAAATCAAGTTACAAGGTGGGGGGTCCAGGAATGATTGATCTATGTGAATTAGTCCTACATATATTGAACTTTTGATGTGGTCCCTTATAGAATATATAATTACATGAACTTCCTTTGTTAGCCATATATAAGTTGAAATATGTGTGGTCAATCAAAGTTTTTAAATCATTGTCACTTGAGTTGGTTTTAACTGAGCCCTGTTTACGTACTTACTTGTCTGAAAAAAGTGTAAAATCACCCAATAAATCACACATTCGTAAACCATTTCTTGTTGCCTGAAAAGAAACAATGTCACTGAATCATCTTCAATTCATTCAATGATTACAACTTAACTATTTGATTCATTGTTACTTGTTCATGACCTTGTGACTGCGCTTGGATCAAATTCTCAATTGTTATGAGTATTAGGTCAATCATATTTGGGGTACAGAATTGTTACATCAAGTTTAGTGATTAGATTAGTTCCTGAATTACTCTATAAATAAGATCCAATATCTATACTTGCATTTTACAACTATGCTTTATTTTTAGCCATGTTGTTTGGCAGTCTGGATCATCAGACACAATTTTCAAACTAGATGCAGCAGTGTGTGAAACCTCTGCTCGCCAACTCACCAAAGGCCAGTACGAAACATATATGGCAAGCACTGATACTTGGGAAATTGCAAATGTGGCAAGTGACATTTATCTCCCAAGTTGAAGTAATTTGACAGTTGCAAGGCCTTAAAATTCATGAATTTCAAGTCTTTTGAACTAATTTCAATGTTACTAGTAATTATATTCCTAGCTCCTAAACAGTTTATTTATTTATCGCGATTGACAAACTAAAACATTATTATGACAACCTTGACACTTCAGCATGTTAAAACCTTTCATACGATCCCTATCTAACTGGTTTTAATTTCTTGACATGACTAAAATAAATGTATTATGCATACAGTGGGGGTATGAGTGGATTACAAATAAAACATTTCATAATGTTTTACCTTCCTATGGTCCATGTATGTTTTTTCTTATCAAATTTCAGGATTGACATTACATTTCTTGACCAGATTTGAAAGCCATTCTTTTATACCTCTCTGAATGTTAAACAAGTTAGATCTGGAGGCAAATAGAAAAGATTTTAGCCAAATTAGGGCTAAATAATTTAAATAAAATGCTCCGCTGGGTGCAGCTTGATACGACCGCAGAGGTCGAACCCTGAACAATTGGTGGAAGTATGGACACAACATTCAAGCTTGATACAGCTCTGAATTTGGATTGTGATAAAATATTTGACACAGCATAGGTTTCTGACACAGACTGAATGTGGTCTAAGAACTTAAAAAATTTTAATTTACCTATTATGGTCCAATATCCAAAATCTAAATACATGGTTAGATTCAGCATATCAAAGAATCTAAAGAATTCATTTTGATGAAATCAAACAAAGTTTAATTTTGGACCCTTTTGACCTCAATGTGGACCAATTTGATAATTGCTTTTATATATAAATCAGAAATAACCAACTTAAAATGGAAAATTTTAAAGAAAAAAAAAAGGAATAAAAGGGGAAAAAAATCCCTTCCCTCAATTTTTTTAACCCTCTTATGATTCATCACCCCCCAAACTCAATCCCAGCCTTCCCTTTGTGGTATGGTACCTTGCAGTACAATTTCAAAGAGATCCATACACTTGAACACAAGTTATTGTCTGGAAACTAGAAAAATGCTTATTTTTGGCCCCTTTTTCCTAAATGTTTTGGGCAATTACCCCCAAACTCAATTCCAGCTTTCCATTTGTGATATGGAACCTTGTAGTACAATTTCAAAAAGATCCATACACTTACACACAAGTTATTGTCATGAAACTAGAAAAATGCTTGTTTTTTGCCCCTTTTTTGGCCCCTAATTCCTAAAATCAATCCCAGCATTTCCTTTGTGATATGGAAACTTGTGGTACAATGTCAGAGAGATCCATACACTAACCAACAACTTATTGTCTGGAAGTTACAAAAATGCTTATTTTTGGCCCCTAATTCCTAAACTGTTGGTACCATAACCCCCAAAATCAATCCCAACCTTCCTTTTGTAGTATTGAACCTTATGGTAAAATTTCATAGAGATCCATTCACTTAAACTAAAGTTATTGTGCGAAAACCAATGTGTCTTCGGACATCGACGTCATACCAATTTTTGTGGTCGTATAAAAATTTGTAAGGGATTCCACTGCTGTCAGTCCTTTTTTCAGTAAAATACAGAATTAAAACAAAACAACTTTTTCTTTAGAACTATCTATGCTATTTCCTTGGGCTTGAAGATTAGCTTCTGTCCAAGTTTCACAACAATCCATGAAGATTTACAAATTTATCATGTCTAAAAAATTTAATCCCAGACTGTTTGTATTGATTGATTGATTTTTGGTGTTTTAACGCCACTTTTAAGCACCGATTTTGGGCTATTTCGTGGCGGCCAGTTTTTATTGGTGGAGGAAGCCGGAGTGCCCGGAGAAAACCACCGACCTTCGATAGGAAAACTGACAATCCTAGTCAATTAAGATTGGAGTCGAGTGCACCCGCACGAGCGGGGTTCGAACTCACAACCTCAGTGTTGACTGACTAGTGATTACAGTAGTAACTACTTAGACCACTCGGCCACCGAGGCCCCTGGGAAGACTGTTTGTAAATGTTAACTGTAATAAACTAAATCCTGAAAATGAAAATATATTATCAAAAGTTTGCATCAGACATTATCTCTTAATCAGAAAAAGCTTCTGCCAAAGTTTCATAAAATTCTATGAAGGTTTGACAAAGCAATTGATGTGTAACAAACTTTATCTACTTGTTAACAATAAACAACATCAAGTCCATTTATCAGTAAAATACAGGAAAATGAAAATAAATATTTTCAAAATTTGCTCTGGATACTGTATTTTGGTAATTAAACAAGCTTCTGTCCAAATTTCATAAAATTCCATGAAGGTTTGACAAAATCATTGACGATTGAAAAACTTTAACCTCAAACTGAATTTGAATGTTAACTGTAAAAATAGTAAGTTCATTTATCAGTAAAATACGGAAAAAAGAAAATAAAAATTTTCAAAATTTTGCTCTGGATACTGTATTTTGGTTATAAACAAGCTTCTGTCCAAATTTCATAACATTTCATGAAGGTTTGACAAAGTTATTGATGTCTAAAAAAACTTTAACCACAGACTGAACCTAAATGTTGACGCAAACGATGTAATCTTTGATCGCTATGTCTCGCTAAAAATATGACAATTATAATAGAAGAGGCCGCTCAATAACTCCAGCATTTGTACTAAGATTAATCCATAATCATTGGAATAAGGAAATCTGGTAATGACATAAAAATAACTTTTGAATTGTCAGTTTCGGTAAAAATCTATTTGATACCCCTCCCCCTCGGTAATCGAAAGATAAGTTCGACTGCTACTGATATAACTGAAACTACTATAGAGAAATAGTAATTTAAATTGTCCAGTAACCAGTTATAGATTTCAAAAAATATACACAAGTACAAACATTTAGTAAGTGGACTTGGAATAATATCTTTTAATAACTATGTATGAAAAAGACAGCGAGTCCCAAAAGTAAGTCATTCGCCAAGCTGGCAAGTGGAATTTCAATTTGGCCAGTTGAAATGAAAATTCGTAAGGGTTCCGCGGAACCCAGTGTCTCGCCTACTTTTTCTGTTAATCGCAGGCTCAACAAAAATGAGGAAGTAAATCAATAAAAATATTCCTCTTGATACTATCTTTTGATTGTAAGAAGCTTCTGTCCAAGTTTGGTAAAAATCGAGGATAGTTTATGAATCTAATAAATGTTTAAAAACTTTACCTGCAGACTGAATGTAATGTTAACTGGAAGAAAACAAAATTTCCTTCTAATTACTAGCATTTGATCATAAACAAGCTTCTGTCCAAGTTTGGTACAAATCCAAAATAGTATAAGAAAGTTATTAAAATTTTAAAAACTTTAACCACAGAGTGAATGTGTTGTTTCCTGGCAGAAAATCTAAGTCCATTTAAAAGTAAAATAAGGAAAAAATGGATTTATTTTTTTACAAAATTTACTTCTGGATACTATCTTATGATCATAAACAAGCTTCTGTCCAAGTTTGGTACAAACCCAGGATAGTTTAAGAAAGTTATTAAAATTTTAAAAACTTTAACCACAGAGTGAATGTAATATTTCCCGGCAGAAAAACTAAGTCCATTTATAAGTAAAATACGGAAAAAATGGAATGTTATTTTTACAAAATTTACTTCTGGATACTATCTTATGATCATAAACAAGCTTCTGTCCAAGTTTGGTAGAAATCCAGGATAGTTTAAGAAAGTTATTAAAATTTCAAAAACTTTAACCACAGAGTGAATATTTGTGGACGCCGCCGACGACAACGACGACGCTGACGGAATGTAGGATCGCTATGTCTCGCTTTTTCGACTAAAGTCGAAGGCTCGACAAAAAGCTGCGACAATTTGGCGAGCAAGAAAAAAATAAATGGGGAATGTGTCCATGGGACATAGATGATGCCTCGCTTGCATAGAAAGTTATAAAGGGACATAACTCAAGAACGATAAAAGTGACGCTACCCAAATTCATACTTGATCTGAGTTTTGTGGTAATATGCATTGTGTATAAGTTTCATAACATTTGGTTGAGGCAAACTTGAACAGAACGGAAACGAAAAAATTCTGCATGTGAATGGGCATAACTCTAGAACAGTAAAAGTGACACCACCAAAATTCAAACTCGATCTGTGTTTTGTGGTAATAAGCATTGTGTATAAGATTCATAACATTTAGTTGAGGCAAACTAAAGTTAATGAACGGAAACTAAAAATAAAGGAATTTTTCTATTGGTAAAGGGGCATAACTCTAAAAAGATAAAGGTGACGCCACCAAAAATTCTAACTTGATCTGTGTTTTGTGGTAATAACCATGCATAAAAGTTTCGTAACATTTGGTTGAGGCCAACTAAAGTTAATGATCGGAAACAAAGGGTTCACGCATATTTATTAGTTAGAAATATAGTCTATGGAGGAATATTCGGAAGCTAAATTATTGTTCATTCGGAACACCTATTCATCTTATCTGTATTAGCTTCCTGCAATTAAAAGCACCTCCATACGGTGTATCTAAGATTTTTAAAACATGGCAATTAAGAATTTTCACAGATCGCTAATTCACTTATCTGATATATGATAATAAACAATCTATAGATCCTTTTCAAACATGTATATTTATTGTAAAGCTACATTTTTTGCATTGC